AAAATTATTTATTTAAGTTGAGTTAATCAATATTCATTGAATTCAAAATAAATTTTATTTTTAGAAAACAAGTCATGCATGTGCACTTTATTCATTTTTTTTTTTTAAGTTTTGAAACATAGAATATAATATGAAAACCATGCAAAATGCATCAAGCACCTAAAGAAGCCTATCGTTCTTTTTCTGACATTTAATTGGAGGTCAATACGTATGCCACTGCTAATAATACTAGTTAGAAGTAGCTAAACAAGTAAAGGGCGGTCCATTCAATAAGAAATTAACAAATCAAAGGATACGTTAATATTTTTTATTAACATTTTTGTGCAAGAAGGGCTCAATACTCCATCCACTTGCTGTATTGATTTATTATGCTGAATTTTCCGATTCATTTTAGAAACCAGTCAATCTTGAAACTTTACCTGGTCTTATACCATTGACTTCTACAAAGTCTGTAGAATCCGGGACGCTGCAACATTTAACATTTTTATTAACATAATTTTTCATCTGGTGTAAGTTGTATGTTTCATTGGTAATTAATTTATTAATAAAATTATTGATGAAAATATTTTTTTAATGAATATTTTATTATTAATTTTTTATTTATTAATAAATCTATTGATAATTAAAAAATATTATTGCGAATAGATTTATTGACAAAACAAATGGATAAAAAAAATTACCGACGATAATTCCATCTCTAATATTTAATTTGAAATTTTATTTTTTTTCAGAAATCGTCAATAATCATTGATGATTTTTCAATCCGTCGATTATTTTGTCTGTAATATTTAAATAAAAATTGGTTATTTTGTCTGTAATGTTTAAATAAAAATTTTAAATTAATTAATTTTTTTCAGAAAACTACTAAATAGCATCGACGACTTTCCAATATGTAAGTGATCTTGTCTGTAAAGAACAATAATTAATAGTATAATTGAAAAGTGAACAGTTCTGAAGTTTTTTGGAAAATACCAACAAAAAGTTTTGTTGGTAATTCTTTTTGTAATTGACATGATAAATAGTGTTCACAGTTTATCAATAAATTTGTTGTTAGTAAAAATGATACGTCATTATTTTTTTGCCTTGTTTTAATTTTTTTCACTGCAATTCCTTCGATATATACCAAGTGAATATTTCCGTCAGTAAAATCCCTCAGAAATTTACCAATAAAAATATTCTCTCGATATTTCTGTTTGTATTTATCGATTTTGTGATAGTGAGAAAGATATGTTATCGTTGTATTTAAAAATACAAGAATTTATTTTAAAATTGTCATAAAAATATATTTGTTTTATTGTTTTCAACAAGATATAACAAAAACACAATGCATATATACCCAAAAACATAAGAAGAGTAAAAAGATAAATAGCATAATAATTCTAGTAGATGATGAGCCTCTACTAACCAGTCCCAACTCCCATGGTCGTGGAGGTTTAAAAAAATACTCAGAGACACCCAAATCTACAAAAATGAAGTAAAATATACATAATATAATGATAGAAACATCACAGAGGGATAATTAGTAGAGATGGCTTGAAATTTTGGAAGGGAAAGAGACAAAAAGATGTTTCCAATAAATAGTTGTGTCTATTATTGGGATTTACGGTGCTTTTCAATCAAAGTGTATTTTTTATTTATAAATATATATAAAAAATCAATTTAATTTTTTTAAATAATAAAAAATACAACCTAACCACGCTTGACTAGTAGTTTTTAGACTTAAAAATTCAAAGCGCAACACCTAACTTTTTTTTGTTTTTGAAAAAAAAGATGAGTCATTTTCATAGCTAAAAGTCTCTCAAATCCGAGCACCAAAATGGGGCCATGAAATGAAATTGTAGATAGCTTTCGGTGGGTCCACTGCCACCCCAATTTTGATGTACAAGACAGCAATTTGAACGAGTGCCTTGAAGAAAATAAAATACACAAAAGTAAAATCTTGTTTACTATAAAGTAGTATTCTTTTTCCAGTAAAATCTTTTTTTTTTCGCAGTATCATAATAAATAAATACTTAATAATATTTGACTATACCATAAGAAATAATTGAAAAATAAATTATTGATATTTTAATTTATTATTTCAAGTTTGTTAGAGACTAAGAACAAAATTTAACAAAAAAAAATGTTAAAAAATGATGAAATTAAAAAAAATTAATTTCATAGAGAATGATGAAATTAAAAAAACATTAATTTCATAATTATTTTAAATAAAATATATAATAATTAAAAGAATAAAGACTAAATCTAATAGATAAAAAATTTGAAAAATAAAATTGAAAAAAATTCTAATTTCATGAATTATTTCAAATAAAATAAATAGTAATAAAAATAATAAGAACTAAAATTGTATAAAAATCAAATTAAATTACATTTTAAGAGACAAGATTGAAAAAAAACAAATAAGAAAATGGATCAAAACAATATATAGCAATAAAATAATTGAAAATTGAATTTAATATAATCAACAAATAATAATATATTTTTTTAAAAAATAATTACAATTTTCACAAAGTATATCATGCTTAATTTTTTTTTAAAAATTAAGTTTTTTTCAGCTATAAAGTATTTTCAGCTAACTAACTAGTAAACAATATGAAAAGGTTTAGAAGGAAACAAACGGGTCTGATATTTAAAGTGATAGATAAATAGAAATGTGTAATCATCTATATATGGCTAGCTTTTTTAGTGACGAAGAGAGTATTATTATAAATTCTATAAAAATGTGAGAAGAGAGAACAACACACCAACAGACAATATAATAAAATTGATTTAAAAAGTGAATTGATCGCAACCTTTTGTATCCTTAACAATAATACATGCCAATCTCTTGAAAGCTGGTTCTATGGAATCTCCGCAAGATAAAAATAAAAAAATAAAAATTCAGGTGCTTTATTTATCAATTAAATAAAAATGAATACTATGTGATAGCAGCATTAAAATATTTGATAGCTAATAAAATTTATTTTCTCCCTTAACTTTTAAAATTTAAATTTTAAACTTAATATATATAACAAATTTATTTCTCCTATTAACAATATATATGGTGTGACATTTTTATTATAACACCTGACATTATTTATTATAAATTACTATAGTAAAATTATTCTACCATTGGTGGAAAAGAAAAGCCTTGGTAACAAGGTAATTTGATTTTTTTTATAAATTTATTATTCATTAAAAAATTATTCCAAAGTTTGTTAATCGTTTTTAAATTTCATGTATAGTGAAATAATATATGTACTTTCATGGTTAACAAAATTAAAAACCATTTATTATGGGTTATTTAAACGGTAAAAATATTTATTTATTTTAAGTTCAGGAAATTTAGAATTTTTGACCAAGGAATTTTTAGGTTTTTATTTCTTAGAATATAATAAAAATATATTTTTATTCTTAGAAAAGATATAAAAAAAAGATATTTTTATCCCTTCATATTTTGTTTTATATATATACTTTGTGTCAGTGTATGGCCTTCTTGCGTGCAGCTTTCTTGCATTTTTAAATCAGAAAAATAACTTTTTATTTTAAAAAATTATAGATACGTGCTTATTGCATATTAATGGATAAATGATGGATAAAATGCTATTTGATAGCCAAATCTTCTCTTTCATAATATTTTTAGAAGTATTATCATATCTTTTTTTTTTTATGGTTTGGCACGTGGCAATAAATGATAAATAATTTGTTGTCGTGATTGTTTCTCTTTTTTTTTTCTTTTTTATTTGCTCTATTTTCTAGAAAAGTACATATTTATTGTTTTTTATTTTAGTTTATTAATTTCAGTCCTTATGTTTTTTGTTGTTTATTCTCGTCCTTTTTTAATTTTTTTTTTATATTTTATACTTAGTTTTTAAATTATAATTTATTATATATTTTTTTTAAAATTCAGTCTTTATTCTTTTGATTTTTTATTTTTTTCTTTGGTTCTTATTTTTTAAAGTTTTATTGATTTTCAATTTCATTATTCAATTAAAGTTTATGTTGTTTTTTTTTCCAATTTATCTCTCATTCTATTGATTTCTTTTTTCTTTTGTTTTTTCCAATTTAGCTCTCATTCTATTGATTTCTTTTTTCTTTTGTTAAAGTTTTTACTTTTCAATTTAACCCTCTAATTTATTTATATTTTTATGTTTTCTAATTTATTTTTTATTTTAATTTTCACCCTGATTTTTTTAATTATAATTTTACATGTGATTTATTTTTTTTTATAATTTTATTATTTGGTGCTTGTTTAATTATAATTTTACGTGTGATTTTTTTTTTATAATTTTATTATTTGGTGCGTGACGATTTCTTTACTTGTGATACTTTTGATCTAATGACATGAGATATGAGTTTGAAAAATTAAAGTGGTTCAACATTTTTTTTTTATGATTTTATACATATGAGATTTGTTTTATAAAAAAATATTCATTTTGAAATAATATCTATAATATGTTCAACCCTATATGATATTTTTTTTATTCAATTAATTTCATATGTATTTCTATTTCAATTATTTTTTATTCATTTTAATAAATAAATTTAGTAAATATAAACGTGTAAATATTTTATTTTACAAGATAAAATATCTTGATCTATATTCATTTTTCAATTATTTGTTTTTTATGTAAAAAAATATCAAAATAGCTTCTATATCTAATTGTTTTTTATATAAATATTATTACTCACGACGTAGCACATGTAATATAGCCAAGATTCATATAAAAAATTTATACTTAAAATAATTTTCTAAAAACATTAATCTTCTAAATTGACCTAGAATATCTTTGACCTTCAAATCTATAAAGAAAGAAAAGGCGGAAAAAAAATGGAAAAGTTCAGACACGTAATATTTGGAATATGGGCCAGGGTATAATAAAGAGAATGGGCTGGGTGTTGGCAGACCCAGGACTAGATAGTTCTGAACTAGCTGAAATATTGGCCCATTCAACCTTGACCAATCAGTTCCTCTCATGGTCACGGCTTGAAAACATTATCTTCATGGATAGATGTTGACACCCCTTATCAGTTTACTTACTGTTAAAGAGTCAAGAACACCTCCCTTCTTGTATTAAAAAAAATAGGACTAGGAAAAATGGATGCAGGGATGCAAGTAGCACTTCCCATACTAGGAGTTGTAGCTGCTGCTGCTGCTACTTTCTATGTTGTAAGCTTTTCTGAGCTTAGAGAGGTATCTATCTCTTAACATCTTATCTCTTTTCTCTTCATAGATGGATGTTGTGTAAGAATATCTTTTTGTTTTTTTTGAACATGTAAGAAATCATTTAGAGATTTGGAAGAGTCTGAGGGTGGAGGGTTTGAGTCATCTCTAAGCTCAAGAAAAAGGAGAGCAAGAAGAAAGGCTGAAAAAGAAGCCAAGAAGTGAGAGGACAAAGAAAGTCTGCATATGAATGATCTTCTGCTCACTTGCTTTTTGTTAAACATTCTCATGGAAGTTGAGACTTGATTTTCATATATATATATATATATATATATATATATATATATATCTTGGTAATTAGATCAGAAACTTGGTTTTGAATAGTTGTTGTAATTGAAATACCATCATAATCTTAGAACAAATCCAACACTTTCAATATCTTAATTAGCTCCTATTTTATCTTCTTAATATGTTCAATTAAAACAATTATACGGGGGTATTGATTTTCACAATCAAGATGTTAATCATGTGTTTGATAACATGTTACAAAGTATTTAAAAGAAATATATTAAAATTATTTAAAAATACTAAAAAAATATTATTTTAAAGTTTCTTTTGGAAGTAAATACACTTTTAAAAAATATTCAAAATAAAAACCACCGCATTTCTGAACAATAAATAAATCAAATGAGATTTTAGAATAATTTTATATTATTTTTTAAGTATATAAAAAGTCTTTAAATTTTAAATTTGTGCCAACTTATTACTGTGTTTTACTTAATTATTTGAGAGTTTAAACAGTGAGTTTTAAAATGGTTTTATATTATTTCCTGGTAAAAAAGCTAAAATCACCACCAAGTCAAAAGGGCAATCAGACCTTTTTTTACCACTGCTAGGCCGACAACAAGGCCTACCCTTGGAGTTGGTAAAAAATAAACCATGGCAATCAAAATTTCCAAAGACAATTTCTGAGCTCTTGTCCTAAGAAAAGTATGCAAGAAGCAATTGCTAAAGACGAGAAAAAAATATTTCTGTTCAACTAGGGCTTGCGAGTTTGCTAGAACCGAAAAGACCCTAGTTGAGTACTGGCAGAAATTTATTTGGAGATCTATTCATATTCCCAAGCATAGTTTCATCACATGGTTAGCAATCTTCAACAGATTGTTTGCCATATTAAGGCAAATCTACATGGGAAGAAGTATAAATGATGCCTGTCTTTTATGTGGAAAGCTAGTACGGTCAGAGATGACCAGATAATTGTTCCCATGCTATACCTAGCTTTGTGGCAGGTTAAGCTCCTGCTGGGTTTTGATGAAACGAAATATACAGTCATTCATCAAAAACATTCTAAGCCATGCATGTCCATATTGGGAACAAAAACCTCTCCAATCTCCATTACCGATAGTTTTAGTTTAGGGCTTATCTGAAATATGCACGTAGACATCCGATAGAATTGGAACGATATAGAGAAAATCAGCGTGGCCCTATGCAAGGATGACAGGCACAAACCTGAAAGTGTTATGTTTACTGTTTCTCATAAATGATCTTTTCTCTTCCGTCCTATCTATCGTTAAGGCAGTATTTGGTTAGGGTTCAAGATAGGAAGAAACACCTATCGAGATAAAAACATGTTTAGTTGGAGGGACTAAGATGATTTCTAAAGCAATTTTAAAGTGAATTTATGTTATTTCAAGACAAAAATGACAGGAAATATGTCTTTTTAATCTCAATTAGCCCTATTTTTTTCTTTCAAACGCTACCTCAAGAACTTGAACCATAAGAGAGTTGTCCTGGTCCTAGTCTATATATCACCAGAAGAAAGCTTACCTTTGTACCAGCCTCATGTAATCCATGGGTGCTCATTTATAGCTTTTTTTCCCCTTTGGTAGATCACTCGTCGCGTACTTGTACAGTTTGATAGAAACATTACTCAATTGGTGGTTCATTTTCTTAATCTCAAGGTGAAACTAAATTTGATCAAATGGGATGCTGACAGTGGTGGATACACTCAGACATTTATATAAACCATGCATTAGTAGGAGACAATTATCCATGGAAGCTGAAATGTCAGCGTCTACGCAGACAATACCCAACTTGTTGAGAATGACACGTGAACCGATTGTACGGAGCTTCTATTCAAAAACAAAACAAATATTTCACCATATATGCCGAGCATATGTCAACTCAGTAATCTATTTTTTTCCGAAAAGTTTTCAGTTTCTTTTTAAAATAATTAAAACCATATCATTTTTTGGATTTACTTGTAACTTAAGATTACGGATATGTAGAATTTATAAGTATGATTAAAATTAATGTGGTTTAAAAGCATAAAAGATATCAAATAGCCTCGATGTTGTGGATGAGATCGCTGTCCCATACTATTTCTCAAACATTTTATAATAATATTGTATAAAAAATAAAATGAAATGTTATATCGCAATAAGAAGCTTGCATAGTCAATCAACTTCTTAATCATTCTTATTGACTAAAGCTGCCAACTTGCTAGCTTTTCTTTACCCACCATTGGAATGGTGTCTTCGCTTAATCTTTTGATTTGAAAACTGAACAAAAACGATGAAGATTTGGCAAAGTTTATGATTGAAAGATAGTTCATGAACTCAACTCATCAAGCTGATCATGGAAAAAGGAAAAAAAACTTCAATATAGGAATAAGAAAATCCTATAAAAAATTAATAATGGAAAAAACAAGCCACTCATGCTAACATATGCATATACCTTGCATCCGATCAGCTTCAGAAATTGGACACGAGATACTATGAATTATGATCTTTTACTCTTTTTTTTTTTTTTTTGTTATCTTGGAGATTATTTAATATAGTTTCTGATCATATTCATATAGAAAGATGCATAGATTCAAGGGAATTTCCAAAGGTTCTGGTCTCCAGTGCTGTCATCGGCCGTAGCATCACCACCTGCAATGTCCAAGCGAGGAGGGATAAGAAGCATCGCTTCTGCCATGTTCACAAGAACATTAGGCATATCAAACATCAAATCCTCGTCAACAAACTGATCATTGACCATTGGCCTAATTTCCTGTTCCATTTGATTAGTATCCCCCATACTTGGAATCCCTAAAGCATCCTTCGCAGCACCTATAGCAGCAGCCGCAGAAGCTGCGGCCGCCTGAATATCACGCGGTGACGTGGAAGCAGGAACAGGCAGAGAAGCAGCTGAGTTTGGGAAGTTAAGCTCTGCATCCTGGCCTTTAAGTGCAAGGGCTGCCACATCATACGCAACAGCAGCCATTTCAGGGTTAGGAAATGTGCCTAACCAGATTCTGTTAGGCTTCTTAGGCTCTCTAATCTCAGACACCCATTTTCCACTACTCCTACGCCGAACTCCACGGAAAACATGATGGTGGCCTGAAACTTTAGGTGCAATAGCCCCAGCAGCAGTAGCAGCAGAAGCAGTTCTGCGACTTCCACTGCTACTGCTACTGTCAGCACTTGAGGTGTTGCTTTGTTGATAATATTGCATGGTTTTTCAATAAGATAATAGGTAAGGAATGACGCCGGAAAGATGGCTTCAAGTGTTCCATGAGAGAAGCCATTTATGGAGGATGGGATTCCAGATAGAATCTTAATTGAGTTTGGATTTTTAAGTGCAAACCAGTTGTTGATGAACTGCTGTCTGTGAAGGGTTGGGGTGTATGCCAGTGTTTTTGTTGGATATCTTGGTTGGATTGCGGTTTCCGCAGCAAAACTGCATGACTAGCTTGTTTAACGTCAAGAATAGTGATGTTTTTGGACATCATACATCACTTCTTAGGGTTTGATTTCCTTATCTGTAATATATATGGTGGGAAACAGTGGGTGAGTTGTAGTGCTGCCTGTTTCATTAAAAAGTACCTGACAAATATTTGTGCAGACAATTTAGCAGCAGTAAATTTGTGGGACTACTCATGTACTCCTGCTGCCTTTTGGTTAATATTTTAGGGCAGAAAAAGAAATCATCAGTAGATGACAGCTTTATGGTCTGAGGATTACTTATGATATCTTAAACAGTGCTCTTAATGCTCTTGCCTTTTTTTTGTCGAGCAAGACATGTCTTTTTACCATGTAGAGTTTCTAAACTGTATTATTTCGTCAATTCTGTATTATTTTGCTGCTAATTTTTCTTCTTAAAAAATATTTCTAATGTATCAACTGAGCATAACCCAGGTAACATGAATTGATCTAACCGCGTATCCTGTACAGGAAATCTATGCCGACGATCCGGACATGCCATGTTTCTGGTAACTATGGATTAGGTACATCAGAAGATGATCGAAGTGCCAGAACCAAAAGTTCGTGGAAAGGATGGAATCCAAATCTATGACATAGAAACACTCAAGTGCAGGGTGACTATATGCACTGAGTTCTGATGCCTTATCATTGAAATCGCGCCTAGATATCACATAATCAAGCAGTCTATATTCCACCCTAGCTTCTAGGCACACTAAATTCCGAGAACAACACCATTAACATATATAGAATAAGCACAGCAAACCTTAATTAATTATATATGGTTTGCAATTCGTAAATCTATAGATGACACGGGACGGGACGCGTAACAATTAGCGCGTTATACAAACCCTGTTTTATAGCGGTTTGTCAAAGGTTGTTTTCATGTTCTTTATTTTTGGATTTTTTTTATTAATTAATTAGGTTTCAGAATTTTATTTGGTTGGTTTGAGCTGTTTTTTAGAGTTTTTTATGTTATTTTCATTAGATTATAATAATTTTAAAATTATTAATGTTCACAATTTAGTTTTCTCGACCGTTTATGATTATAATTTTAGAGTCAGAGAACCCCTAATTTCTTTCTTTTTCGCTATAATTTACATCAGTAAACCATTGAAGCGAAATGCTCGTCAGGAACAAATAGGGAAAGCTATGGTAATTAAGTCCATTTTGAGCATCGAAAACTTTTTTCTTTTTTTTGGCATGTCGGCCGTGTATCATGCATGATTTAACTGTGCTTCAAATCAGCTACTCTCCTACACACGACTTTTCAAGCAGCTTTGCTCAACTCAGTTGCAGACAATCCTGACTTACTTGATCCACCTTTAACTGTATAATTTGCAGAAGCTCCAAAATTTGTCATTTCAAGCGCCTAAAAGGCCCTATGCAACCATAGAAGAAAGCACACGATTTCCATAGGTCAGGCCCTTTTCATAGTCATAGTGTATAGTGACTTGGTTTGATGAGTGAGGATTAAGAAACCCTGTTAGAGCCCAGTTCTTTTTCTTGTTCATCACGAGGAAGCGAGGCTGTTTACTTGCTCTAAAAATTTAAGACTGGGACCGGATTTCCCATAATACTCGATGCATTCGTTAACTAAGTCCAACATGTATTGTATGTGACTCATTTTCATTCTCGGTGAATATGTCCAACGTTCCACAGTCTAAAGAATTGTTGGTCACTTCAGGCAAGATTGTCATTCACTGTTTGCTTATAGGAGGAGGAAAAGGAGGACACAAGATGGATATGAAATGGGATTAGCTCACATTTATTAGCTACCAAATGTCTCACAATTCACAGCAGCAAATATATTTGCTTCACATGAAACCTACAGTATTTCTAATATTGACAACTGCTGTTTAATGCTTCTTGTGTTGAGATTTCAGTTCCTTTACCCTCTCTTCAGTAGCTCTTAGAGCTTTCCCATATTTGCTAATTAACTGCACAGAGAAGTATTTATTCATTAAAAAAGGATAGTTCCATTCCACCAAGATAACAGCTTTGAATATAAAATGCAGCACTTGAAAAAGTGATCAGGGAAAATATGTATATTGGTTAATCTACATGAAAACATACCACATCAACCTCTTCAGGAGACATGATAAATGGTGGAGACATCATTATGTTGTCCCCTGCGACACGTACCAACATTCCTTCCTTCTCACATTGTGCTCCAAAATATGCGCCAACTCCTAGATGCCATTGCAACTCAAGGATTATTAACAGGAAGATGAAAAAGATAATGAAAATCAAGTAGAACGGGTTACCAACACAGAGTGATAATGCATGCTTAAAGGTAACTCCCCTTTCAGATACAGATTTTCCATTCCAGAAAACTATTGTTGCTGAAAGATGTTGAAAGCATGCCCCGTATTATCTAAAGAACAACTGGAAACTGAGAAGGGAGCTGAAACTAACCCCACTCAGGAGGGAATGGATCATTTGGTGACTTGTTGTCCACGAACTCTGTACCAAGAATCAAGCCAGTTCCTCGTATCTGAAGTAACAGAAGATAGTACAAGGTAATGTGTCTGGTAATATGTTCATTCACCAAATTTGCTTAAACAACAGAAATTGTACCTCCCCTATGATAGGACTGTCAGCGAAGGCTTTTACACCATCTTGAAATTTTGGGGCAATTCTGTTTACCTGATCAAGAATGTTTCTTTCCCTGCAAACAAGTAAACATTTAGCTAAATGCTAAACCTTAATATAAATAAGTTAGCATTTGTGCCATGAGCCATGCCCTACCACTGAACAAGCTCATCTAAGATAATCCATTGACAGACTAACTATTTAATCAGATGATCATGGAGCATAAATAAGAAATTATATTGCAATTTCCCATCACCAATGTTTACAGGAAGAAGGGATGTTAAATGATGCCTAATGATCATCAACTGGTTGGTTCATTATAACTATATTGTTAGAAAGATATTCATTCTTGAAATCGAAATATTGGCACTTGCAAGTAGAATATCCAAAGAATAACAGAAAAGGACACACTTGTATATCTTGAGTGCTTCAATGGCAACCGCACAAGCAACAGGGTGGCCAGAGTAAGTGAATCCATGAGAGAAAGAGCCTGAAATAGAAGAAATTAGGAGACAACAAAATTAAGAAGCATTTTGTAGCAATGAAAAATATGGTCGTTGCTGGATATTGCCCACTTACCAAGTTTGCTGCTTTGAGAGTGAATCACATCTGAAACTTCAGGGCTGACCATAACAGCTCCAATTGGCATGTAAGCAGAGGAAAGGGCCTGGGAAACCAATGCCAAACAAGGCATAGAGATCAAGTAATATCTCAGAAATTGAACGCATTGTAATTACATTTTCATCCACCTTACCTTTGCTACAGATACAAGGTCTGGTTTGATGTTGTATTTGTCACACCCATACATCGTCCCAAGCCTTCCAAAGGCACAAATTACCTAAAATAAACAGAAAGAAGAAAGCAAGCTTGAATGGCCAACCTCTATAGAAATTGGTAACAGGGATGGAAAGTAAGTACCTCATCTGCAATAAACAGAATTTCATATTTTTTCACCACAGCTTGAATCTGCAAGAGACAAAAGTTAGGCCAGTTATATATGTTGGCAAGCCAAGGGAGGTTTTTTTTTCCTTTTTATTATGGGAGTGGCAGGGGTGGCGGGAGGTGATATGTTGACAAAAGACAGCAAACAAAGCACAAAACCAGCACGCCATGTTTATTAGCATGGTGGAATTAGTACTTTAATACTAAGCAGAAGCCTCACAGGTCCTATACCACGATAGAGGAGGAGCTATTTGCCTCTCAGTTTCGCAATAGCATAAAAACTATATATCATCCAGTTTCATCAACATCAAGACACCAGCAAAACTGCGTGATGAAATGTTAGCGCTATTTTTTGTGACTTGCCATAATATGTTATATTAGCTAGCATCAAAAGAGACATTTTTCATCCAGGAGATGGCCATCTCAAGCAGATCGTGGTACTGGGTTAAAAAAGCCTCACCTTATCAAAATAAGTTGCTGGGGGAGGTATTACGCCCCCTGCCCCCATGACAGGCTCAGCAATAAATGCAGCAATCTGAAATGAGCAAGAACAGTACATGAGCAATCACCAATTCCTTTAGTTCTGAATTGGGTTTCCATACAAGATGGTCAATCTAAAGATCAAAGTACCGTCTCTGGTCCCTCTTTCAGGATAAGATTCTCCAAATTGTTAGCTAGTCTGGTTGAGAATTCCTCCTCTGTTTCACCTGTCACGTTTATTAACAAGACTGTTAATACAAATAGTGTCATTAAGAGGATCTGACAAGTAAGACAAGTCCAAACCTGGGAGATGATAGCGCCAGTAATGAGGACAGTCAGTGTGTAGAACAAATGGAGCAGGCAGATCAAATTTTTGGTGCAATGCTGGAAGGCTGTGACATAAATTAATTGGTTAATCAAACATGAGTTTCCACATGTTAAGCTCAAATATTCTCATCAAAGAGGTGCTCATCAATTATCTTTACCCAGAAAGACTGGCTGCTATCAAAGTTGAACCATGGTACCTGCCAAATTCAAATATACTAATTAGTAAATGGGAATATTCCCGACAAGGATATGGAAAAAATAATCAATTGAGCATTCCACATACGATTTTGCTCGAGCTATAAATTTCTTCTTATTTGGTCTTCCAAGAGCATTGTTATAATACCATACTAGCTTCACCTACAAATAGATAATTCAAGACATCAAGTAAGTACCCCACTAGGAGAAAAAACAAGAAAAGGAAACAAGGTAAAACAGTATTCTTGCTATAATCATCATCATTGCTATCATTGATTAACATGCAAAGAAGGCAAACCTGAGTGTCATTGGCTTCTGATCCACTATTTGTAAAGAAGGCTTTTGCCATTTTACTTGCAGTAAAAGTTTCAAGTAGTTCTTTTGCAAGATCCTGTTAGACAAAAATGATTATTTAAAACCAATGGAAAGCATTTTCAGAAGTTATTATGTCAAATATTTTGTAATGAAAGAGGCAGCAATGCTTC